ATGCGCGGGGCCGTGCAGGGTCCCACGGCCGTGGGGGGAAGGGTGCCATGGGGCCAGCACTGCAGGAGCCGGGCACACGGTGCCTGATGGCAGCTGTAAGGGACGCCATGCACCCCTTACAGCTGCCATCAGACGCCCCCCATCGGTTGGCGCCCTGGGCAGCTGCCTGGCTCACCCATGCCTCAGTCCGGCCCTGCGGCTGCCCCTCTGATACCTGACATACACATATGTTCAACTTTACTATTATGACTAGTCCCTGGGGCTAACGTTTGAGTTAAGCATGCATGGAAGCGTTAGCAGGATCCAAGCTCAAAAGACAAGACAGATAATCTGATATTGGCAAACAACAAAAAAGCAATTTGTAAAGAAGCATAATATCATTTCTGGTCAGTTTATCCTTCAGATAATAACACAGCCCCAGCCCATCCCCACACCATAACCTCCCCAGCAGCTCCCAGGCAGAATGCTAAAGCAAAGGAATAAAGGTAAAGAAGAACAACACTGTACCCACTTCATGCAACACTGAAGATGGCACACTGATTATTACCAAGCAGAAAATTGGTTTCCTCCACAGCACTCACTGCATATGCTGAGTGTGTATCAATAGCATCAGCAGTGACGATCTTGAGACTTACTTTACAATCTTGCTTACCTTTATTGCTCACTCTGCAACATTGGGCTAGATTGTTCTCGCCTGCAGATTAGTGTAAATCAGGCCTCACACAGATTCATTCACCATCACTGAAGCGCATGAGCAGGTTCACTGAAGGGAACAGTTTTACTGAATTTTGGTAACACTTGGAATCACAGAATCATAAGACTTGAAGGGATCCGGAGCGGTCATCTAGCCTGGTCCTCTGCACTCAGCAGTATTATCTAGCTTAGGAGTGGGTAATAAGCACATCCAGCTCCTAGCCTGGTTTGCCAGGGGTAGCCCCTGGTGGGTCACCAGACACTTTATTTACCTGAGCATCTGCAGGTACAGCCGCTTGCAGCTCCCAGTGGCTGTGGTTTGCTATTTCCAACCAATAGGAGCTGCAGGAAGCAGTGGTCTGGCCCATGCTATTTCCTGCAGCTCCTATTCGCCAGGAAAGGCAAACCGCGGCCAATGGGAGCTGCAAGCAGGCACACCTGTGTACTCTCAGGTAAACATACCATCTGGCGGCCTGCCAGGGGCTAACTACAGGAATCTAGACCATGCCAGAGGTGTTTGTCTAATCTGCTCTTAAATATCTCTAGAGGGGCTAGAGCAGCTTCCGACCTTTTGTGGCCCACACGTCCCTACTGCCCCTAGATGGAGTGTGTGTGTCCATGCGCTGCTCCTGAGTCACCTCACCCCCAACAGCCTCAGCCAAAGGGGGATGCCCTATGTATGTGCAGCACCCCCACCTGTTCCCTCCACATCCCCTCACAGAACCTACACCTTCTCCTTGCCCCCTTCTGCCCCAAACTTCCCCCACCAGAACCTGCACCCCAATCACCTGCCCCAGCCCCCAAACTCCTCCCCAGAACCTGTGCCCCTTCTGCACCCCAATCACCTGCCCCAGCCCCCAAACTTGTCCCCGGAACCTGCACTCCTTCTGCACCCCAATCACCTGCTCCAGCCCCCAAATTCCTCCCCGGAACCTGCGCCCCTTCTGCACCCCAATCACCTGCTCCAGCCCCCAAATTCCTCCCCGGAACCTGCGCCCCTTCTGCACCCCAATCACCTGCTCCAGCCCCCAAATTCCTCCCCGGAACCTGCGCCCCTTCTGCACCCCAATCACCTGCTCCAGCCCCCAAATTCCTCCCCGGAACCTGCGCCCCTTCTGCACCCCAATCACCTGCTCCAGCCCCCAAATTCCTCCCCGGAACCTGCGCCCCTTCTGCACCCCAATCACCTGCTCCAGCCCCCAAATTCCTCCCCGGAACCTGCGCCCCTTCTGCACCCCAATCACCTGCTCCAGCCCCCAAATTCCTCCCCGGAACCTGCGCCCCTTCTGCACCCCAATCACCTGCTCCAGCCCCCAAATTCCTCCCCGGAACCTGCGCCCCTTCTGCACCCCAATCACCTGCTCCAGCCCCCAAATTCCTCCCCGGAACCTGCGCCCCTTCTGCACCCCAATCACCTGCTCCAGCCCCCAAATTCCTCCCCGGAACCTGCGCCCCTTCTGCACCCCAATCACCTGCTCCAGCCCCCAAATTCCTCCCCGGAACCTGCGCCCCTTCTGCACCCCAATCACCTGCTCCAGCCCCCAAATTCCTCCCCGGAACCTGCGCCCCTTCTGCACCCCAATCACCTGCTCCAGCCCCCAAATTCCTCCCCGGAACCTGCGCCCCTTCTGCACCCCAATCACCTGCTCCAGCCCCCAAATTCCTCCCCGGAACCTGCGCCCCTTCTGCACCCCAATCACCTGCTCCAGCCCCCAAATTCCTCCCCGGAACCTGCGCCCCTTCTGCACCCCAATCACCTGCTCCAGCCCCCAAACTCCTCCCCAGAACCTGCACTCCTCCTGCACCCCAATCACCTGCCCCAGCACCCAAACTCGTCTCCGGAACCTGCACCCCTTCTGCACCCCAATCACCTGCTCCAGCCCCCAAACTCCTCCCCAGAACCTGCACCCCTTCTGCACCCCAATCATCCGCCCCAGTCCCCAAACTCCTCCTCGGAACCTGCACTCCTTCTACACCCCAATCACCTGCCCCAGCCCCCAAACTCGTCCCCGGAACCTGCACCCCTTCTGCACCCCAATCACCTGCTCCAGCCCCCAAACTCCTCCCCAGAACCTGCACCCCTTCTGCACCCCAATCATCCGCCCCAGTCCCCAAACTCCTCCTCGGAACCTGCACTCCTTCTACACCCCAATCACCTGCCCCAGCCCCCAAACTCGTCCCCGGAACCTGCACCCCTTCTGCACCCCAATCACCTGCTCCAGCCCCCAAACTCCTCCCCAGAACCTGCACTCCTCCTGCACCCCAATCACCTGCCCCAGCCCCCAAACTCCTCCCCGGAGCCAGAGGCAGGAGGCATGTGTGTGTTGGGGGCGGGGGGCCTCTAGGCATTTTAGACACCGGCACAAATTCTGCAAAGCAGCAGGCCCCATCTAATCCCCGTCTCCAGGTCCCCACACCTGGTTCCTCCCACGCCCGCCCCCTCGCTCCGCCCCCGGGCTCCTCCTCTTCTCCTTGCCTGCTACTTCGCTAGTTGGAGTGAGCGCGGCGAGACCAGCGGAGCGTTCGCCTGGCGTCTTACGCTCCGTCCCGGGGAGAGGGGCGCACGGAGCCGAGCGAGGCGAGCCCTGCCCGGGACAGCGGGGCGCTAGGGGCGCCCCCCCCCCCCGGCAGCGGGATGAGCCCGGGGCTGGCCAGCGTGTTGCTGCTGCTTCTCTGCGCGTTCGCGGTGAGCCCGCGAGGGAAAGGGGGACGGGGACCCCGGGCAGAGAGCCTCTTTGGCCCGCTTAGAGCGGAGCGCCCCTGCGCCCGGGCCGGCTCTGTGTCCCCCCTTGCGCGGGGGAACGTGTCCGGACTTGTGCGCTCGCTGGGGCAGAGCTGGGGGTGGGAACAGCGGGAGGGAAGGGGGGGGGGGCTCTCCTGGGCACTCTTCAAGCCGTTTTCTTTCTGCGAGTGACCGGAGGAGGGGGATGAAGGGAGCTGGTCACAAGCCGGCAAGGGTGCAGCTGCTGCTGGCTTAAGTGAAAACTGTCCTACCCCAGGAGAAAAGTCCTGGCGCATGGCGCTGTCTGCACCCGGCTTTAAGCTCAGGTGTGTGGATTTACACCCCCGAGCGCCATAGTTACACCCCCGACAGTCTGTAGTGGGGGTTCGATTTGGCACCGGGCTCAGCAAACTGCTCTGAGTCCCCTATGCTGGGGGATTTTCTGCTGTCTTGTGCTCCCTGTGCGGACGGCTCCTGCTTCTGCCAATGGCGTGCCAAGAGCTCCCGAACATGCCAGGAACTCGTGAACTGTTTGTTTCTTCTGGGGCCTGAGTTCCCAGTTGGTTTAGTAACTGTTTGGGCCCATCCTGCTGCTCTTCCACAGGAACAAGGGGGGCTTTCTGCGAGACTCTCTCGAACAAGGCTTGGGTTGTGGGGAACGTGTTTCTTAGGATGTGAACTTCCTAGTGTATTTTGGAAAGTTTGGATGCCTTCGCTAGGAGACTCCTGGGCGCAGAGCGGGGGAATGGAAGTTTTGTCACTGGCTTCAGAGGGGGCAGGATTTCACTTAGGACCATGGAGTCCAACATGTTAGCCGCTAGCCTCGTGTGGCGTGGTTATTTTGCTGGTTGAGTATGGCCAGTTGGCTAGAACAGTGTTTCTTAACCAGTGGTATGAATATCCTCGGGGTACTCGAGAGACGTCTGGGGGATATGTCAACACAACTGAAGTTTGGAGAACTGAATTTTTGTGTTTTTACAGCACTTTGTATTTTTTACACCCAAAAATTTCATTGCCTGCTCGGCTACGATTAAGTTGTTTAAACAAATGTGTTGCAATGGTAGAAGAAAAATGTTTAGCTACTGGGGATACATACAATTTTTTTTTGAAAAGGGGGTACTTTATTTTTTTAAAAAAAAGTGTTGAGAGACTGGGCTATAGCTTCAGAACCTCACTGGCTTAGGATCTGCAGTTCTCAATTCGTCTGATTATGCTGACCAGGATGGGGTTTATTTGCCTCTGGGACGGGCAGCTGCTTTTGGGTTCTGGCCTCATCCATGCTGTTCCTTCCCCAGTTTTTATTTTATTCTCCTTTGGTCAGTTAGCAGCAGTCTTAATTGTACCCTGTCACTGCTTGTCCCTCTCCCTCATCTGGCCTCCGTTCTCTACCTGGTGCGTCAAAACCTATATGAACCCATCTCTCCGGTTTTATCCTTCCCTAGGCAACCTGGTAGAAATTCAATCAGATGTGATTGTTTTAAAAAAACAAAAACAAAAACCAATTCCACCCCAGCAATATATGAAAGTAACAGGAAGTGATGTGCCTGATCTTAGCCTCAGAGGGGGAACCATGTTAGTCTGTAACTTTAAAAACAAAAAGTCTCTAAGGTGCCCCAGGCCTACTTGGTGTCATTTTAGCGTCACCCTTTCCTTCCTATTCTTATTGTCCCATAATTGCTGACTCATGTTTGAACCTGGAATCAGCTAACTTAACCCATGTGACTATTACACCCTTTCAATTCAAATGCCATCTGGAAACTACATTCACGGGGCCTTCACCTGTAAGCACTTAGGAATGAGTGCATGGCTTTATTTGTTCCTTTGAAGCACCTACAATGCTGAAAAAACACTGAAAAAAACCATAAAACTCTAATCTCTCTGGGACAAGGGTCATGAAGTGTTGAGAACCTTACCAACTCTGTTGTATTTTGTACTGTTTCCTTAACTGGTGTGGACAGACAAGCTTCCCCCTTCCCCTCGCCCCCCCCAATGTGGTAAGTCTGTAAGCTTGGAAAAGAGACTAAAGGTAGATATAATAGAGGTCTACGATATCTTTATTCACTTTCTGCACATCAGTTATGTTTGTTCCTTCCCAGAATGCAAGAACTAAGGGGTTGCCAAATGAAATTAACAGGTAGTGGGTGTAAAACAAACAAAAGGAAGTACTGTTTTTCACAACACAGACATATCCTGTGGAACTCCTTGCCACAGGATGCATTGAAGGCTGACACTATAATCAGAGCTCAAAAAAGAGCTAGATAAATTCATGGAGGATAGGTTCATCAATGGTTATTAGCCAGGATGGGCATGGATGGTGTGCTTAGCCTCTGTTTGTCAGACACAGGGAATGGATAACTTGGTTACCTGTTGTGTTCGTTCCTACTGGGGCACCTATACTTGGCTAGATGGCCCTTTGGTCTGACCCAGATCCAGAACTGCTGTTCTATGTTCTTGTGGTTTGGCGTGGATTCTTAACCATCTGCTTTGCTCCAATGCTTGGTTTTATTGGCAAGAGAGGAAGGCATGGAATGGTGTGCCATAAAACAGAATTGGCCACTCACTGCAGTCGAAGGGCTGAAGACCGATCTGGTCTGTCCTGGATTGCACACAGGTTACTGCGGATACTGTGCCTCTGGGTTGTGCTTACAACATGGCTAGTTTCCATCTGTGCTGCCAAAGCACACTGATGTGTGGTGTGTTCGTCCAAATTGTGCTGCGCCCATCTCCTTTCCCATCTTGTTGCAAACCTTGTGGGGGCAGGGTTGTAGAAGAGTCCAGAGCCCTCCTCACACGAATGTCGCTTTCATTCGGTGTTGCCGTAGGAGGCGCCAGAGGCGGTGGGTGGCAAAATTCGCTCCTGTGTGGCCACCCAACACCATTTTCAGTGGTGGCCAGGCCATGCTGTGGCTTTGCGCACAGGGATGAATGTCACACGCTCGTGCCCTTGTAAATAGTAGTCGTCTGCATGATGGGCTGTAACTGCCCAGGCCTGGCTTTTGACAGGGGAATTGGGCTCAAGGTTGCATTGCATCTTGTGGGATCTGGGAGGGGTAGCCCCGGATTAGGGATGTAAAATCCTGTTTAATTAATTAACGGGTTAAATGTTAAGCGTAATCAATTAAATAGGAGGGGGGAGCAGCAGCCCAGCCACCTTCTTCCATGGCTGGAGGCTGCTCTGGCCAGGCTGGAGTGCTTCTGCCCACAACATGCTCAGACCCACCGTGGACAAGGGCTTCTCCAGCCATGCTGGAGTCCCCCAGTCCCTACCAGTAACCATTAACATCCCTGTCCCCTCACAGCTACGTGTTAATGCTACTAGGGTCAGAGACGTTGGAATGTCAGTCTCCTGGGCGGGGAAGGATTTATAGGATTTACGTTTCCTGTTTTCATCTCCAAGCCTTCCCCTGGCGGGCTGGCACGTGCCCCTTGTGTTTTAGCCTTGTGCGCTCAGCGGGAAAACCCCTTCTGCTGGCACGTCTCTGCCTAGGCCAGCCCTGAGCCAGGCCTCCGTAGACTGCTCTGGTGAAGTCGGCGTGGCTGGCAAGGCCGTGCGGTCCTTGAAGGCTAAGCCAGTTCTGCTGCAGGCCGAGGAAGGGTTCCCATTGACTTCAGGGGAGCTTGGATCAGGCCCCTGGACAGTGACTTTAGAGGTTTTCTTGGCAGAGGAGGGATGGAGAAGGGTGTGCTGCTCCCCTCCTTTCTGTGTGGGTCTGAACCCTGCACTGGAGGGGCCAGCTGTGGACAGGGGGAACTTGGTCAGTCCTTGCTGTCTCTGCTGGGCATGGAGGGGTTAGGGGAAGGTTTTGTGATTAAAACCGGGTTGGGACGAGGCAGACACCAGCTGCAGCCACAGATGTGCTAGGGATGTGTCTATACCCCACATATCCGAGCCTCTTCTATCCACGCACAAAACTATGAGACTTGGATCAGCAAACACTGAAGTCTAAAGATGCCCTCTGCCCCCCATGGTCTGACCCTGAGTCCTGCTGTGACATGGCCCAAACCCTCTCATTTTACAGTAGGGACACCACTCAAGCTGAGAACCCGAGTCAGGCTCTGCATGGCTCCGTATGGGCTCGTTCTGGCCGTGAGAGCCGGCTCGAGCAATTGTAAGCTCAGGTGTATGCTGCTGGGTGTGCAGAGACTCCGACACTGAGTCTCTCTCTGACAGATCCAGGTTTGCAGGGCAAGATGGACGTACCCTGTGTGACCTTGGGCAAGTCTCTTAATCCTTTGTGGCTCTTTCCAAGCCTGTGAGACCGGGGCTGTGTCCTGGGCAAAGGCTTAGGGCATGTCAACCCGACGTAGCTTGTAGAGACAAAGTCAAGTTGTCGGTCAGCAAAACGTTTCTTCTACCCTCCACGAGCGGGTTTCGCTCTGTCGACAGGAGAGCGGGACAGTGGATGAAGCAGTATTCAGGTGTGCATTCACCACAGCAAAACTTTGCCCCAGGGAGTTAAGCACCTGTGAACGACAAAAGTTCTGTTCAGCAAGTGCAAGTGTAAACGCAGCCCTGGTGTAAAACATGCCCCATGGGTGATCCTGATAGAGCTCTTCGCACAGTTTTGCAGTTTAGATTTTTATCCTTTTGACGGGAATAGCCAGGGAGCTATCTTAGGGTGGCTGATGTAATGTGCTGTGTCTGGGCGTCACTGATAACATTATCTCATGTTTATGGACGTACTGAGGAGTGTCTATTCACTTCTTTGCTGGCTGAGTTTGACATTCTGGTGTTAACCGAGGCCTGTCTAAACTACCGATGAAGCTGTTTTGTTCCAGAGTTAGACCACGTCTGTATTTACCCCTGGATTGATGCTCGGGAGATTGATCTTCTGGCATTCGATTTAGCAGGTCTAGTAAAGACCTGCTAAATTGAATGCTGAGGGCACCCCTGTTGGTGTCAGTCGTCCTCCTCTTCCTCCTCCTAACAAGGACTAAGGGAAATCGATGGGAGTGTTTCTCTTGTCAACCTCTCGCTGTGGGGATGGCACTAAAGTTCATATCAAAGTTAGGGGTGTTGGATAGCATGTAACTGACTAATCATGTAACTGGATCAAATTTTGGCGGTTACATGACTATTCAATAGTCCCCAGGGGTGGGACCGACAGTTGGTGCACTCCCAGCCCTGCTCCCAGGGAGCCCCTTGCTACTCCACACTGCTGCCCTGCCTCTGTCCATGGGGGGTTCGAGTTCCCATGGGCAGGGACTGCTCTGACATCCCACGGAGAAGCCTCTGTCCACAGCAAGCTTGAGCCTGCTGCAGACAAAAGCAGCCCCTAATCAAGGTATCTCAACTCCAGCTATGTTAATTCGAATGTATCCCTAGTATAGAGCAGGCCTTAGCGGGTTTGGTATTGATTGCAACCTGGCTACCACCCAGGGCAGTAATTGTAGGTTAGATAAGCTGTACTGTTGAAAGCTGAAACTGAACGTTTTATTGGGTTTTTTGTGGGGTGTTTTGTTTGTTTTTGTTTAACGGGTACATGGATTGTTGGTCAGTTGTAAAGCCCTTACATGTAACTTGTTGGCACTTCTGTGCTTGTCTGTCAGTATCGCTAATCCTGGAACGCTGCATCTGATCGATTCCAACGCTTCCAAGAAAACATGTTCGGTATCGCTCCCAACTCCTCTGAAGTGGGTAAAATGAGCCGCAGATATCCGCAGCTACATCCGCGGATGGGGATACCCGGGGAGATCAAGTGGACATCTGCAGATTTGCAGGCTCTAGGGATCCGGTGTCAGGGAGGGGTTCTTGAAGTGCTGATGGGGACAATGAGGCCAGCTAATGTGTCGGGGCATTCCCGCAGATGGCTGCGATGTGACACCTCGAGTGGGTGGGCTTGTAACAGAGGATGAGGAAGATCTGGAGTTAGATTCCTCCACCTCCAGCTTTGACCCAATCCTAGCATTAGCGTTAACCAGGGGATGGCCGTGGGGAGGAGAAACCATAATGACATGTTGTGATCCCAGGGTGAATTTTATTACAACCGTCCAGCAAAAGGTCTGTGTGCTTAACGAAAATAAAGTCTTGTCTGGTGACGGCTGCTGATTGCTATGCGGGGGGAGGTACTTGAAAGGGATACACTGATGCCGCAGGGAACAAGCGGAAGGCCTTGCTTTTGGACTATGGAATGGGGGTTGGCCTGAAAAAATGTTGCTTACGGATCTGAGTCATCCGAGGTTCTGGGAGCTTTATTGTTCGTTGTAGCCCGTTTCCTAGCTCACACCTTCCCTGGTTGCTAGGGAAAGTAAAGTGTATTTCAGAGGGCAAGGTGTTCTTTTTGCGCCACTGAGATCTGTGCAGTTGTATGGTGGCATGTGCATTTTAGCTGGTTCACACTTTGCTTCCTACAGAGACCGAGCGAGATCTATTTAAAGCTGCTTCTGGCTCTCTCAGGAAACTTTTTTTCTTTGTGCTGACAAGGCCTGTGTTGCTTCTGATTGGCCTACAGAGACTGGGATGAGCGAGGAAGGACTGGCCTAGATGGTGCCAGAGACCAGGGTGGGAGAATATTTTCTCTCTCTCTCAAAAAAAAAAAACTGCTTCGGTTGGAGGGATGATGAAGTCCCATGGAATGCAGGAACAAAAGGAAAAACGTATGTACAATAGCACTTTAAAGACTAACAGGACGGTTTACTAGGTGATGAGCTTTCACCTATTAAACGGTCTTGTTAGTCTTTGAAGTGCTACATAGTTTTTCCTTTTGTTTTAGCAAGATCAGACTAATGTGGCTACCTCTCTATTGCTATGGAATGCAGGAAGCGCTGAAAGATTTCCTCCGTTGTCCCATTCATGTTTAGCACATGGGAGGAGGGTCTGAATTTGTAACTTTACGGGGGAATCTAAGAAGACCACTTCCTTTGTATGTCTCCCTCCCTGCTCATCCTTTTTTTCTTTTCCTGTTTGGGAATAGCCACATCCCCCTTCACCCTATACTTGCTTCTGCCGTTGCACCGGGCTGTTCTGTCAGGGATAGAAAGGCTACAGCCTTTTGGTTTTCTCCCTCTCTTGTCTCTTCCCTCCCTCCCCGGTAAGGAGGGTGGGAAGAGGCAAGGGGGATGGTAGGGGAGTTGGAGCGAGAATGCAATCGAATACTTTGGTCCAGGTGTGACAATAGAGCAGAACTAATCAGGAGGGGCAGATGGGGTGGACAAATGGCAGAGTCCAGGAGGGTTGTTATGGAAACAGGTACAAGGGCCTCTTCTCCCCCCCCCCCCCCCCCCAAAAAAAAAGGCTTTTCTTGCATGCACTGAATCTAGACAGACATCCCCATAACTTCAGTCTCTCGGTGTCCTGCCTCTGCACAGCAAGAGGGCTTTCCCCACCAGATTTCCTTGTCCAGGAAGCTTAGGGTTGGGCGGGGAGAGGAAGCTGGGCTACAGGCCTGACTTGTGACCGGTTGGACGGGGAGAGGAAGCTGGGCTACAGGCGTGACGTGACCCTCAGCACAGGTAGGGAAACTGAGGCACGGAGCAGTTACTCTGCGGGGATAGAGAGCCAGGGCGTGTCCCGCACCGTGACTCTAACCTAACCTGTAGAAAATGAGGTGGTGAGCTCGGCTCTCCGTGCTGGCGCAGCGTCCGTGTGTGAGCCATGACTCATACAGATAAAAACACGAGCGCTGGCTTGTGAAGCCCTGTGCGCCAGGCTTCCCGAAAGAGGGGCGGGACTTCCTGGTCGTCTAGATCGGATAAAACGGACTAATCCAAGGTTTCCTCGTGATCAAGGCTGTTCGTGGAAAGCTCTGGCCTCCTTGCCAACTGTGAGGCTGAAGCTGTTGGTGTCTGCCTGGTAGCATTGCTTTTAGCATCTTGGTTGGGATGCTGCTGTTTGCAGGCCTCCTTCAGCCCCCCCCCCCCTCACCCCACCGTCAGTTCATATGCACCAGACACAGCTGGGAGAGAACAATTCCAGGGAACCCTTCCTGATAATCCTGCCCCCTTCTGTAGGCCCGGAGATCCGGGGAGCCCAGTTTCAGTCTGGAAAAGAGAAGACAGCGAGGGGACATGCCAATTTTCAAGCACCTAAAAGATCGGTGCAAGGAGGAGGGAGAAAAATTGTTCCCCTTGACTTCTGAGGACAAGAAGCAATGGGCTGACTTTGCAGCAAGGGAGGTTTAGGCTGGACATTTAGGAAAACCGTCCTGCCTGTCCGGGTAGTTAAACACTGGAATCAATTGCCTGGGGGGGGGTTGTGGAATCTCCAGCTCTGGAGATATTTAAGAGCAGGTTGGACAGACACCTGTCAGGGATGATCTAGAAGATGGTGCTTAGACCTGCGGTGAGGGCAGGGGACTGGACTTGATGCCCTCTCGAGGTCCCTTCCGGTCTAGTGTTCTAGGAAACATTTATCAGCTTCTCCTGGGCAGTGTTCCCTGTAAGTGATGCACTTGGGAGAGATTCAGATGCTACCCCGTTGATTAGCAGAGTGCCTTCAGTGAACAGCAGCTGACAGCATATGTTTCTACTGGTGGTGCGCATCGTCTTGTGCCTTGGTGCATGTAACAAATTATTCTGCACTTGGATGGAAAAAAAACAAAACTAGAGGGAACACTGCTCCTGGGGGTTGAGGGCCTTTGTGGCTCCCTGAGGCACCATGAGCCTAGAGAGGCAAATAAAGTGCCCAAGGTCACCTAGTGGCAGAGCGGGGACTGGAACCCACATGTCCTTACCCCCAGTCTTTTGTCCACATTTCCTTTGAGCATCTCTATGTTCCAATCGCCACGCATCTCTTCCCGCTTCCCAGCCTTCCGGTCTTCAGCCAGATGCTGCTCCTTCACAAATCAGCCGTCCAAACTGACCCTCTGTGTCTTTACATCTATTTTTAGCATGAAGCCAGGCCTGCAAGTATCTCGCTGACCCGGAGTCTGGAGGGGCCTCGTTCGATCCCCAGAGCCTTTAGTCACAGCACGGAGGACTCGGAGTTCGACGAACATGAAGATCATCTTCGCAAAACGTGCCCTGCAGGTACCATGCTCCCAGAGTGGCCTTGTCTGCCCCCTCTCTTGCCTGCCTCTCTGCTCTGGGAATAACTAGGGAATAGAAACACGAATCCGGGAACCTATCCCTGCAACAAACCCCCTCGCCATCTACCCTAGTGATACCATCACTGGACCCAGCCACATCAGCTGGACCATCATCTGTCCCCTCCTTCACGTGCCCATCCGCTAATGTGATTTTACACCCTCCTGTGCCAACAATGACCCTCCACCTTGGCCACTGGCCGAACCGGACTGTCTGGAAGAAATGGGCACCAATCAGGCATTAAGAATGGCAGCCTACAGCAGCCGGTGGGGGAGCCCGTTAACCTCCCTGGGCACATGGTTTTGGACTTGCAAGTTGCCATTCTTAGGCCAAAAACCCCCTTCCCGGACAAACTGTTGTGCTGGAATTCGCATGTAGATTTGACAAGTTGAACCAAAGTCTAAATAAACACCTGGGCTATGGCTACACTTGCGGCTTCTTGCGCAAGTAATATGCAAATGAGGCTGTGGAATATCACCAAGCCTCATTTGCATACCTAATGAGCCACCATTTTTTTTTTCAGAAGAGGCTCTTGCGCAAGAAGGAGCATCTACACTGCCCCTTCTTGTGCAAGAAAAGCCCTCTTGTGCAATGCTGTTACACCTATTACTTGACCGGAAGAACGGCATTGCGCAAGAGGGCTTTTCTTGCGCGAGAAGGGACAGTGTAGACGGTCCGCCACTGGCTATGGGGGGAATCCCATCAAAACACACTGAGCGGGCCTTGGTGGGAGATACCATTCGTGTACCCTCCCTGGGCCACCTCTTACCGTTCTGAGTGGCGTGGCAGCCCATGAAGCCTCGGGTCTCCTGCTTCCTCTGATGGGGTCCGTGGCTGGCGCTCAGCTGGAGTTCCCACCGCACGTCCTTCCACGCCGGCATCTGACCCATACTGAGCTGAGACGCTTCCTTTTATACTGGTCTTCCCCACGCTGTGGGCAGAGGGTCGCCCCCTTCTGGCCTAGGGCGGGGTACGCACTCCCTCCCCATCACCGTTCTGTATCCGTGTCCCGCTCATCTCAGACCACCGCCTCCTTTCCTGCAGGTTTCTACTTGAACGCGAGCATGAAGTGCGACAAGTGCGAAGAAGGCATTGAGTTCACAGAGTTCCCCAATGCGCTTTCCAGGTGCCTGCCTTGTCATGTCTGCAGAAAAGGTACGGAGGGGAAATAGAGGCCGGAGTCCTCCCTCCACTCCCCCAAGGGGCAGTTTTCTCACTGCTCGGTTCACCTTTCTAATTGGAGCCAAGCTACGGAGGGACTGTATGCTCCATAGGCCCGGAGCGGCTGGGTGGTTCTGTTTGTACAGTGCCTAGCACAACAGCTTTGTGGCCAGAGACTGGTGCCGTTTGCTGCTGCCGCCACGTTACAAATAAGGGGCTTATTCGTACATCAGCGATGCTGAAAGTTACTGAGTGATGGGCAGAGGTGGAAGCCGCCTAGACTGCACCTAGTGGGGCTGGCTTTGGGACAGCAGAGCCGACGTTCACAGATGCAGCGCCATGTGCTCTATCGTGCCTGCGTATGCTAGGGCTGCATGTATGCCAATAGCAATATAAAATATGTGCGCACACACATATACACACACCTGTGCATGTGCGCGCACAGACACACATTATGGGTGCGTCTAGACTGGCAAGATTTTGCACAAAAGCAGGTGCTTTTGCGCAAAAACTTGCCAGCTGTCTACACTGGCGGCTTGAATTTGCGCAAGAGCACTGACTTTGTAATGTATAAAATCAGTGCTTCTTGCGCAAATACTTTCATATTCCTGCTCGGGGGGAAAAAAGCCCTCTTGCGCAAGAATACTTGCACAAGAGGACCAGTGTAGACAGGGAAGAACTGTTTTGCACAGAAAAGTCCTGATGGCTAAAATGGCGATCGGGGCTTACTTGCGCAAAAGCGTGTCTAGATTGGCAACAGATGCTTTTGCGCAAATTCTAGATGCGCTTTTGTGAAAATACTTTTAACGGAAAAACTTTTCTGTTAAAAGTATTTCTGCAAAATCATGCCAGTCTAGATGCAGCCTAGATGTACTAGTGTATCAAAAGAAGAGAGTTGCTTATCAAGAAGTGAAGAAACAGATTGACAGAGCCAGGTGAGTACCTAGAAGTCACCTACCACAGGACAGTCCCAGCAAGGACAATAGCCAACCGCCATCAGTAATCACCTACTGCCCCCACCTTTAAACCCCGCCATGGCATCATTGAAAATATACAGCCTCTCCTGGAAAATGATCCTTCACCCTCACAGACGAAAATATACAGCCTCTCCTGTAAAATGATCCTTCACCCTCACAGACCTTAGGAGATAGGCGGCCAGTCCGTGCCTACAGACAGCCCCCCAACCTAGGGGCACGCTCACCGGCAGGCACATACCACACCACAGACACACTCACCCAGGAGCCTAACAGCCCATGGAGGCTGTTATCTGCCATGCGGACCAGCCGCTGTGGAGGAGACGAAATGTGTGCTTTACAAACAGGCTGGAAGGGTTAGAATTTCACTGGTAAGTGTCAATTTCACAGACATACAGTGACTGAAATGTAGTGACTGAAATTTGCTGATGGGCAAGTAAGCAAAACGCTGCTTGAAAACTTACTCGAGTTTGGCTAAAGGATATTTGCTTGTTATATTTTGACGGGGGGATGCTGAGCAGTTTATGAAGCGTTAACTTTGAATCTCAACATCTACCATTGAATTGCCTGACTCCTCCATAGTTTCCTACAACTCTAATAATAGAAAAATAAAGTAATAGGAAAAAATACCTACATCAACATTGATGGGTCCAAATTATATTTTAACAAGACACCTGGATGTTGCCTGCCCTATTTACAAGAGTGAGACCAGCACCCCATGCGTAGGGGTGTGGATGTTTTCTACCAACACCTACAGGAGTGGGTGAGGGAGGATGGAGACTTTGGCAAAGTACCCTCGGTAGATTTCTGTGCTGAGGATAAACATTTTGTCAGTGTAGAGCAGGCGGGATCTCTGGCCCAATCGAAGAAATCGATACGCTCAGTCCTTTAGTGCAAGCGAAGCTCTTCTCGCTCATTCCCCCAGTGATGCTAGCAGCCGTGAACACTCTGCCCTGACAGTGTGGATTAGGGTGGGGCAGTTCAGTACCAATTGTATGCTTGTGGTTTCCAGATGAGGTGCAGCTAAGTCCGTGCCACAGCAGCAAGGACACGCAGTGTGCTTGCAAGAACGGAACCTTTTGCTCGCCGGACCATCCCTGTGAAATATGCCAGAAGTGCAGAACCAGGTGTGAGCTGCCACAGTGCTGGATTGAGGAGGAAGCGGGAGAAATACCTGTCCCAGCCTGGGAGTGGGCAGGCAGATGGGTCTCCCAGGCTGAAGCAGAAGCCTATTCCGATCCTGCTCTGTAGGGTTGCCTTTCGCTCCGTTGTGGGGAATTCTGTGGCTTCCCCCTCATTCGGATCCACCCTTGTCTTTCTCAGGTGTCCCGAAGGCGAAGTGCAGGTCAGCTCCTGTACGCTGCAAAGTGACATCCAGTGTGCACATCCCACAAGCCCCCCACCTGCAGCTGGTAAGAGCTGAGGGCTAGCGGCCGAGCCCTGGGGGGGGGGGGGGTGTGGGTGTGGCATCCACATCTGCAAAAATGAGCCGCACCTCTCCGCAGCCGTGGCTGCCTGGGGCTGCGAAGCAGATACCTGTGGATTTGCAGGGTTTTGTGTCTGTATCTGCAAAAGTGAGCCGCAAAGTGAGGGTTTTCAGGGTTCCCTCTGGAGCCATTGAGGGAAGAGGCCCATGGCAGCTGACAGTTGATGGGTAGCCCTGGGCTGTATTTGGAGGATGAAGGTCTCTGGGTTGGGCGTTCGGTCTCTCTGGGTCTCGTTCTTCTCATCTACACCGGTGGTGGAGAAGTGACCCACTGGAGTGGCTGGCTAAGAGGAGACTCTGGTGATTACGTTTCATGAGTGCCTTCTCGGTGCCCATGTCTTCTCCTTTAGGCCGCATTACTGGCATGACGGTAGCTGGGATATTGGTGCTTCTAGCAGTGGTTGGGGCCTTGCTTGGGGTCTGGTGGTGGCGCAGAAGGAATCGCAAATCCTCTTCTGAAGGTAAGCGACGCTCCCAGTGCGGGGGTCGTGGGACCCAGGGAGGGGTGCATGCCGAATCCAGGCTGTGGAAAATGACTCGCTGATGGTTTAAGAAAGCATCCGTGTGTTGGGGGAGAAGTGGGGCTGTATCTTGGGGATGCATGGGCCACATGATCACTCACGCTGCCCGTCTGCCGGCAGTTTCCAGGACTCTGGGTGGGGTGTGCAGTGATGGGGTGCATGGACTGTAGAGCACTTTGGGGGAAGAAAAATCAGCTTTGAACAGAGATGGGTTTTTCAGCCTTTGCTGAGGGCCCAGTCAGCACCCGGCCGTGGCCCATGTGACGTTCCCAGGGCCGTGCAGGTCGTCTGTAGTACGTGGGTCACTTCCATACAGCACATGGAGACCTGCAGTGGGACACCCATTGGGGACCACTGCCCCAGCGTGATGGGAAGGCCGGTTAGCCTGTGTGGGCGGTTTGGCTGCTACAATCCAACCACCGAACTCAAATGGCTGCCCAGTGGGGCAGGACTGACTCCCTGCAGGCGCGGCTGCAAGCCGCTGCCCTCTCCTCCCCTCTCCACGAGGTGCCGGTGCAAGGGAAAGACGGGAGACTCCTAATCCTAGGAGTGGAGGGTTGGAGGAGACCTCCCTGCTCATAGTAGGACCAACCTCAACTCAGTCATCCCAGCCGGGGCTTTGTCAAGCCGGGACTTAATCTCTAGGGATGGAGACTTCACTCCCCTCCCTCAGGAACCCAGCCCAGTGCTTCACCACCCTCTTTCTTTTCCAGGGGACCCGACAAAGAAGTCCGCCAGCATTAAGGTGAGGGTCTCTTGGTCTGCTGGGTGCTCTGGGGAGAGTGGGTTTAATCGGAGTCTGATTTTTTTTTTATGGCCCCCCCTGCCCCCACGCGTGCCCTTGTGCTCACGCCGTCTCTCCCTTCCTCCTGGGCTTCCAAAGATCACGTGTAACCTGAAAACGCGAGGTTCTCATGGGGTCTGCGTCGGTCCCAAGTAAAGATGTTGCTGCTCCAGGGGTATGGGGTGGGCGGTGGCTTCTTCCACCCTCCAAAAGGGAGGAGCATTGAGCCAGAAGCTCTTGTAGCTACTGGAGGGGGGACCGTGGAAATGCAGCTGACGCTCAAGGCAGTCTCTGGCCAGGATGTTGCGCGCCCCCCCATCCCTTCCACTTGGCCTCTGCGAGGTCGAGGTCGCTGACAGCTTGTTGGTTCGCTGCCCTCATGAGAGAATCCTTCTTCTCTAGCAAACCCAGCGGGCTGCGTGCGCCACGTGCCCACCATGGCGAGGGGGTGTCCGTCCCACCGTGCTCTCGTTCTCGTGTCTTCGGGGGAGATGTGGCTGTGGGAAGACGGGTTTTGGGGGCGGGGGGAGGGAAGCGTGAGGCCTGAGAGGCGTGTGACAGTACCGAGCTCCTGCAAGTTGGTCTCCTGAGAACTTGACTGCGTCCGGACCGGAGCGCAGGGCCTCTTGCAGCTCTCCTGTGGGTGATCTGGCTTGATCTCTGAGGGGCCGTCGGATTCTACTGCCCCACCAGAAATGCAGAGGGGTTGGGACTCCGCTGGCCAACTTGGGAATGTTTCATATTTCAGCTCCAGGACCCAACCCTCCACCGGACTTGGGGGCTCGAAGCTAGGATGTGGGGGACTGGGTTCATCTCTAACTGATGGTAGCTTCTGCTGAAGGAACTCTTCCATGGGCCTCTCTGCAGTGCGGGCCCCTGGCAGGTCCTGGGATGGTACAGCTGGTTTGAAAGCTTTGGCTTTTTGGCATGGTTTTTAACACAGGCTCATCATATCTTGTCACCGCTGAGGAACTGCGCTCGAAGGAGACCGGGCACGCAGGACAACATGCGGAATGAGCAGCTGGATCAGGAATCCCGGAGTGTGTTGCTGACTGTGTCAGACCCTGAAGAAGCAGCCAGGGAGGAGAGCCAGGGCGAGACGAGGGCTCCACAGGCAACAGCCCCGAAGCTGGAGGTAACTTACCAACGTGCCCTTCCTGCGGGTTCTAGCTCTGAAGGCCGATCCGGCCCCTTGTATGGTCTGACCCGGGGTAAGTTTCACGTGTCCCCAAGCAGTTTCTCAAAGGCTGAAGAGCATGAATTCAGTCATTTGCCACTATGGGGAGTGTGGTTGGGATGCCCTACGACGTGTCTGTGGATCAAGGGATGGGAATCTCCCAGCGCCCCCACCCCCGCCCTGTGGGACTGTCTGATCTAGTGCGCCTGGCCGGGGAAGGGAGTGGTGAGGGGGATCTCAGCCGGGCTTGTATCTCCTGGCCGTCGCCTCTTCCTCACGCCGCAGGAAACCAAGCGGGGAACCGCAGGGTGCAGCATTTCACAGCATCCCCGGCTGAGGGCTTCTCGCCTTGGGGTGCTGAACAGAGACCCCACGTTCCCTTCCCTTGTGGAGCTGCAGGGCTGTTCCCTCTGCCCCAGCTTAGGAGGCCCAGCAAGTCACCGCTAGGTGGGTTCAGCTGAAGCGTCCCACAAGGAGGCGCAAGTGACTGGGGGGGGGCTGCCCTTGCTCCATCCCCGCCCCACCTCTCCCCCCCAAAAGAGGGGGATTAATGGGGCCGGTGCTGGCAGCGGGGGTCCACGCTCCTCTTCCTCCCATCCCGGACTCCCAGCAGTGGCGGGGGGCCTGGAGCAAGGAGACCCCCCAGCTCGCTTTGCTCCCTCGGCCGCATGGCTCTGCTTCCTGCCGGGGAGGGTGTGGGTGGCCCTGCCCCTCCCCCGGCATGGGGCAGCCGAAGGGCCGTGCAAGTTTGTCGCACTTATGCTGCTGTTGCCGGTGAGTCAGGGGGATGCAGCCCCCATTAGTTCCACTGCTAGCTGGCCCCTCCCACCCATGTTTGAGGGACACGTGGCGCCCCCATCACCTCAGAGATCCCCTGAATGTCTCCATCACCCAGAGATGAGGGAAGCTCCTTCCCCCTCCCCCCCTTTTCCCCCTGTTTTGCTGGTGCTTTCTGGTAGGAGGTAACATCGGTGCGCATTAGCTTGCAGGTCACTAGGGGCATCCGCTCTGAGAATCCCCGTAACTATGGGGCAGGGAACCTCTAGGGACTGGAGAACAGCTGTGCCCAGAGGCTCAGACAGATGTGCTCTGCCCCACGCCTGCAGGCATCTTTGCATGGACTAGCCTGTTGCTCAGGGTAACCGCTGTCTTGCCATCTTCCCAGGTGTTGCAGCAAAACCCAGCCTCTGGCATGGCAAGCAAGAGGAGGAAGCTGGTGCCAATCGGTGAACAGAACCCAATAGACAGTAAGTGGTGGGGTGGTCCTTTGTAGTGCTTTGGGGATGTGGTGTAACAGCAAGTGACTTCTGAGTCCGCCCCTCGCCTAGGTGGTCCGTTGTAGTGCGTTGGGGATGTGGTGTAACAGTAAGTGACTTCTGAGTCCGCCCCTCGCCTGGGAGCTAAAAACAGGGCTGAACACTTCAAACAGCCTTAGTGCTCAATGGGTTTTTCTTCTGTGCAGTTTTTTAGCTGAGAATGAATTAAAACAAACTCTCATTTGGGGTCTAGGTTTGATTTCTCCCCCTCTTTCCCATAGAAACAGGGAGGGGGAAAGAGAATTAGTCATGAGACCATCCAAGTTTTTCTGGCCAAATCTTCTATGAACTTTCCCTTCAAGTGAGAAGCCATTTTTCAGGGGAGATTGACACAACCTCCTCTAGCTCTGGGTAGCAGTCCCCTCGGCCTGGCAAGCAAAGGATCCCCTGAGGAGAAAGGGAACCTCAGAGGATCCTTGTCACCTTCAGGTTCGGAGTGTGTTCCTAACCATCATAGACCTTGGGGTCCAAAATCCATGGGCTGTGACGATCACAGGGACCTGTGATAGGCTGGAGAAGGAGCGTGACTGGCATTTTTCAGGGTCTCTTTGTGACAAACTTTCCTGTTAAGAGTGAGGTTAGCTCTTTAACAGAGATAATAGCAACAAAAGGAATCATCCCCATGCTTCAGGGTCTGGTCACGGGGGATGGGGGGAGGTGGGGTCAGGAAGAAATCTCCCTGCTTCTCCCATGGGATACTACTAGACCGTGAGTATGGGGAGGTTCTCATTGGGTGCTTCCATCTTGTCTCTGCCAGTTTTGCGGTGCTCCTTTGAGATCTTCACTCAGGAAGTGCCCTTCAAGGACTGGAGAAGGTTCGGGAGGGCCCTCCTCCTCTCGGAAAACGAGATTGAGTTGGCCGAGAGGAGCGACAAGTACTCGCAGGAGCCACATTACCAGATGTTAAATACCTGGCAGAACAAAACTGGGGCAGGAGCCTCCGTCAACCAGCTCCTGGAGACCTTGGAGAAGATTGATCTCAGAGGCGTTGCGGATATTATCCGCGCCAAGCTGACTGACCTGTACAAGGAGGAAGAATTAAACTGAGGAACGGGGGGAACTGCCTTACTCGTCTCTAAGCCAGAACCACAAATGCCTCCAATCTTGGCTCTTCCCCTGGGCTGTGTTAACGCATCCTTGGGAGAGACCCGCTGCGGGGTGGGAGGGGAGTTAGCCACTTGAACAAAAGAGCCTCACGCCCTCTAGGAAGAGTGCGATGCTGCAAAATCAGCTGCACAGGCCACGGGTTCTTCCTCCAAAGGGCAGAATCTAAGTTACTGTGAGACAGCCAAGCTGGGATTTCTGGGTACTGCTCTGTTGGAACGACTCAAATACGTTCTCGTGAAACACCAGGGAAATCTGGCGTTGCCTGACTCGTCCCGGCTGCGGGGTCTTGGTAGCTGGCGAGACCGATGAAAGGCAAAGCTGGCATGTTCGTCATTCAGGGCTCCCCTCTGAAAGACCCGACCCAACCAAATATGCAACACCTGCCGCCGCCTGCTTTACCTTTCTGGGAAACTTGATAAGCTGTTTGCTGGCCAGAGCCTCTACCTCCCTCTGTGGCGGGCAGATTTTAATTGGCTTCTGGGTCATTTGTTACTTGCTGTACATTTTAGCTGTTTCATTTGCTGTATGGAAGGATTAGACAATGCCTATCTAAGACTTGAGGACTGAAGTGAGGGGCAGATGACTCTACTCTGTTGGTACTGAACCTGTGAGTCACAGGGCTTTGCTGTCTCTTCAAGGGGGCCAAATCCCAGCAGAGCTCTGCTGAGAACGCCAGAGATCGGGGTTCACACCCTTGCTCTGCCACAGACTTCATGTGGGACCTTGGGCATGTCTCTGCACCCCTTCCGACCAATGGGGACCACAGCACTGCCTATTGGATGGGTTGGGACATGCTGTCTGGGCACCAGTCCAGTAGCTTTTGTACATAGCGGAGGGACAGTTTGGCCGTGAAACGAACTACCGTTACTGAGCAGGGTGGAGTGATGCGGGGGTGACCATCCAGCCCTCCAAAAAGCCAGCTGGCACCTGCATGGTGCGTTTGGCACACTCATGGTCAGCCAGCCTCCGCTCGGCATGCGGCTTGGACAGCCGTCCCTTTCCCTAATAACGCTTGAACATCGAAATGACCCTCCCTTCTTTCGGTGGCAGAATCCCTCCATGTATTTTAAAGCTGTGCGTAAAAGAAGAAGCTGGAGGAGGTGGCATATTTAAGTATTTATTAGGAATTTTAAATGTAAGTATTTAACTTAAAAGGTAATATAAAAATAGGATTTTTTTTTCTCCTCTTGTGTGTTGCAGTTGTTTGTACAGACCTCTGGCCCAGCCAGGTTTTTTAAATTTCCAGTTTTATACATGATTTGTATGAAGGAAGAATAAACTTTTTTATATGCTACTGTTTCTCATTTCTTCCCCTCCCAACTGCGCCACACCCTCCCTCTTCTCCCGTGCCTTCAGCCATGATATTGACTCATTGGGGTTAGTGGTGTGGGTCCAATGCAGACCAGTCTGTATCCGTGCACCTCTGCCTTGAGTGACGGCTGTTCACACCATGGGGCCCACGCGGTTCATTGCGGCTCTGTGCTGTGATCCTCCCAGGCTGGATTTCCACTTCATGGCAGCCACCACGGCATAGCAAACTTGCTCCTGGAAAGCTGCAGCTCCCCTCTTTCCATTAACCAATGAGATTTGTATGCAAATGAGCCTCTCCCGACCATTCATATTTATTAACATTTGACACCCAGGTGGCACAGCTGTAAATTTACAACAGGGCTGAGCAAAGCAATTCAGACCTTCAGTGGCACTTGCAGCAAACCCACCTCCTTTTTTGTGCCACAAGAGAGGTTTGCCTGGCAGAAGCAAAGTCCTCTGTAATTAAGCGGTGGGCAGGAGGGGGCCTCCTTGGTAGGGTTGTGTCCCATCAGAGCCAGCGCTGAGGCTGTTAAACTATTGCATCTTCCCAAAACCAGAGGGTAGACAGACTGAACCCGGCACCCTGGCTGGCTTCTCATAGGTCTGGCCTCCAAGGAAAGACTTCGAGCTATCCCAGCCTAAGGAGACCAAACCAGAGACTGCTGTGAGTTTTTCCTGTAAGCTGAGTGTTCAGGTGGCCACCCAGAAGAGATTTTTAGGGACCACCCAGCTGTTTAGCAGAGTGCCCATAGCTGGCAGCATGCTTTTCTATTGGTGGTGCACATCTGCATTTGCCTCGGTGCATATAACAAAACTTACTCCACATATGACTTTCCTATCAGTGCAGGGAGGTAGGCTGGCTCCCAGGAGTAGCATGCTCAGGGTTGACACTTCTGGGTTTTGGGGGGTTTTTTTCTTCCTGTGCTCAAAGCACTCTTGGTAGCCACTAAAGTGGATCTAAGTGCTGGGCACCGACCTGTCCGTTTGAGTGGCACAAGGGGGAGGGGACCAGCAGAGGACAACTGGGGGCAGAGTTGGTGTGTGCTGCCCCATCTGGCCCTTGCTCACCCCCTACCAGATCTCAATTTCAAGCCTGCTACCAAAGCACAGGCGGGCCTGTTCCCAGCTGCTGACTTGGTTCTAGCTGCCACCAGCAACCGTCACACCAAGGGTCGGCTCCAACCGCCCACCAATGGAACATTGCCCCGGAATTCGCTGCTGTTGGATCAGACCCTAATTCCTCTCTACCAAGTGGGAGGAGGGGGGGAACCAGCCATGCATCTCTGGCTCTGGCTCTGGCTCATTGCAAATTACACTGCTGTGTAAATGCCCACTGTTCTGCAACCATCACTGCCTCCTAGTGGAGTAGAGAGAAATCTAAACTACTTGCTCAAGACATCTGTGAATGACACTAGCTTCTACCCAGGGTGCTATGGGAAGGGGGTAGCTGTTTGGAAGGGCCAGAACAGATTGCCTGCCCCCCACCCCCCATTTAAGAGGTGATGCTACCCAAGCAGATATGCCTTGTTTGCCTGACTCCGGGGCCCAAGGCTCCGCTCTCAGTGGAAAAGGGCACCAGACTAGAGGCTGAGTTGTACACCTGGCTTGGATTCAGCAGAGGGTAAGTCACAGCTCCGTGCTTCAGTTTCCCCACGGGCAAAAGAGGGACAGGACCAGCTTTAGCAGGCGGCGTGAGCTGTATGGACGGCGCTTGCGAAGTAGCATTAGGCTGACCCCTAGCAAAGCTCTGACTTCCAGAGGAACGTAGACGGACTGCTCTGAAACCATTTTGGGGGAGTGGCGGAGCTCGGCCGCTTGACCTTAACCTAACCCGTGGCTTTGCCAATCCACGGCTTTGCCAGGGATGTGGCTGTCGTGGTGGCACCAGGGGAGCCATCCATCAGCACGGAGCCCCACAGCAGCTGGCAGGTGATCCCTGCCTCCCCAAGCATCAGCTGCTTCCTTCCAAACACACAGGGGCCACGCTGGGCTTTAAAAGACCATTTATTACAACGGAGCCTTCGGAGCTAAAATCCCAACCACTGGGAGTTGGGGGTGTGTGTGTGCGGGAGGGGGCTTTAAAATAAAGTCAGAGTCTGGGCTCCTACAGTGGTAAAGCAGCAGCCTGTCCCAAAATGTCTGGGAAGGCAGCAACCCAGCCAATCCCCCTCCCTCTCACCACCCGGCTAACCTCGCACAATCACAGCAGAGCCCGGGCGGGATTGTGAAATGCAACATCCTCACCAGGCAGGAAGGAAGGCAGAGGGCTGGGAAGCCGGGGGGGCTCCCAGGTAGTACGGGAGCTGGCTGCTCCGTGACTATACTCCGTGCCTGCAGCGAGAGCCTGAATCCACTTGGGTGTCCAGGGGGCTTTCCTGGAAGTTTGTACAGGCTTGGGCAGGTCCCCGGAGATGGCCCCTGCCTCAGCAAATGTTCCAGAGGCCAGAGCCGGGCCGGGAAGCGCAGAGAGAGGAGGCTGCTCCCTGGCGAACGAGCCGTGGTTCGAAACGTCCTGGGGGGCGAGGAGCGCGCGAGCGAACAAGTCCCGGCCTCCGGGCAAAAGCCGAGCCCGAAGGGATTTCATTTTCCTCCTCGTAGAAAGCTCAGGCTCTGATAAAAGCCAGATTCTCCCGCCAATGAGTCTCTGCAAAGCTGCCAACAATCCCCCCATGCCTTGTCTCCAGCCAGGGCTGCTACAGCCGGGATCAGGACCCTGGAGATCTCCCAGGGGAGGGAGGTCCTGAGCCCCCCCCGTATGGTACGCGCCCACCCAGCCATGGACTCCTGCTCCGCATTCTCCACGGAGGAGCTCGGCGGGCGGCGTCTGCTCCAAGCGGGGGGGGACCGGCTGCCCGTACGGGTTGCTCGGCCACCGCCTTCTCACAGGGCCACTGGAGTGAGGACAAGGGGGCTGTCACACCACAGCCGAGGAGGACGAGGAAGAGGAGGACGACGAGGAAGCCGTGGCTGCTGACGAAGAAGGGGAGGCGGAGGGGGAGGCGGAGGAGTTCCAGAAGAGCCACCTCCTCTTAGGCTGCCGTTTCTGGTGGAGGTAGTCTTCCTTCTCCCGCTCCTTCTTGGCCCGCTGGTAGTGGTCCTCTTCCTTCAGGTACCAGACCGGCGGCCAGCGGTGCTTCTCAAAGTGTTCTTGGTTCTCTGAAGGGGGGAGGCAGCACAGGGGCAGGTTAACCACAGAACGACGGGGGGGAGGGGTCCCCCCAAACCCAGCCCACTGCCCCCTCGCAGGGACTCCGCCACGCCCAGGGGCCTCACTGACCTGCTGACATGGCCTTCATGTCCCGCGGGAACTTCCGGCAGACGTTGTTGTAGTTGGTGCAAATGTGATGGAGGCACCAGTCTGCCAGCTGGTAGGCGCAGTGAAACTGGAAGACAGACAGACAGAGCGTGGTGAGCACGGGCGCAAGGGGATGGAAGCCACCTCTGGGATGGAAGGCAGGCGTGGTTTATTTGTGCATGGCTAAGCACAGAGCCATGGAGAGAGGTGGAGGAAGATCTGCTGCCCATCCCTCTCTCCTGCCCCCGAAATGTGGTAGGAAGTTCTCCCACTGGCATGGGCAGCGGGTAACACAGGCAAGGGAAGGTGCTGCCTTCCCAAAACTGCCCACGCCCTCCACCAGGCTCCCCAGCTGGCCAGGAGGGATCAGGCGGCTGCCCCAGGTGCTTTGGCTGCCCAGAAAGGGTTGGGCCATGCCAGCCGCTGGGAGAAGGACACTAAGACGGCTGGGGGCCGAAAGCAGGGGTGGGGACCAGGCCTAGCTCCATGGGAGCGGGGCTTTGCCTTCCCCAGCTGGGCCTCTGCCCGCCGCCCAGCCTGGCTGGAA